TCTCTTACTCTCTCTCTGTCAAATCTTTAAAATCTTTTTTAAAACGATACCAGAAGAAACCAATAAACGTACAAATGAATTAAATGTAAGAAAATGACTGATAAATATTTCATAGGTGAAAGACAAAAAATGCTCAATATCACTGGTAATTAGCAAAAAGCAAGATATAATCACAAAACAGTCGTCTTCACACGTATGATACAGGCAAATGTTCCGCAATTGCAGTGTTGTCAATCTTGGGATAAATAAACGTATGTAAGAATAGTGGGAGAGTCTGGGGCGCCTGGGTGGCTCAATGGGTTAAAGCCTCTGCCTACAGCTCAGGTCATGATCTCAGGGTCCTGGGATCAAGCCCCACATCGGGCTCTCTGCTCAGCGGGGAGCCTGCTTCCTCCTCTCTCTCTGCCTGCTTCTCTGCCTACTTGTGATCTCTGTCGAATAAATAAATAAAATCTTAAAAAAAAAGAATAGTGGGAAAATCGATTCATACATTTCATTGGCATTTCCTATAAATTTGAAATTATCTGTAGTCTCCAACTAAGTAATTTTTCTCCAATATAGAGAATTTGTTATGCATGGTCATTTGGAAATTGAAACAGGAGCAGCGTTTTTCACAAGAGGAAAACAAACTTGAAACAGCCCCAGAAGTATAAACACCAGAATGGAAAAGTAAATTGGGTTACCCCCAGCCTCAGAAGCCTGTGTGTGTGAAAACAGAAGGCAAGCCAACGAGTGATGACCATATTCCCGGTAATTCTATAATGCCCTTTCATGAAAAGCTAAAAAAAAAAAAAAAAAAAGGCAGAGTTGAAACATTACTTAGTGCTGAACAATAGATGGCAAATCTATGAAGACTAACTAAAATTCACAATAGCAGTCACATTGGGGGTGGGAGGGAAAGGAAGAAAGGAGGACACATTGGGAGTCTAATATCTGCCGGAAGTCTGTTGAGGATCATGTCCAATCTCCAGAGTTCATGCAATATTAATACTTAAGATAGGACATACTTAATATTTAATACTTAAGCTTAAGGTGGGACATTTATGCAATGTTTTCAAAGTATGAGATAGCACACTATAAAAATTTAAAGAGTTTTACATGTGAAAAAAAGTACAATTTAAAAATATTGTTTTATCCTATTAGAGAATAGACCAGCTATCTAGTTTTCATTTCAGGCATTTTGGAACTATTCACCAGCCTTTTAACTGGGTCCATTTAACTTGCCTTGGTATTCATTTGAGTAGCAGAAGATTGATGATGGGCCCAGTCTCTAAAAAGAACGGGTTACATGAAATTAAACCATCACAGGTTTAATTTCACAGCTGCAGGAATTTATTTCCAACTGAAGAGAATCGAGCACATTTTAGTGTGTAAGCCATGTTACCTTTGTATGCCTAAGGGAAGAAACAATGTAGTTGAAATTGCTTCTCTTTACATAAACTCTGTATTATGAAAACTGATAAAATTGAAATTTGGAGGGGACAAAGGGACACGATGCTAGAGGGTGTGCTAGGAGAGAGTTTTAAGGCAGATTTCTAAATCTCAGGTGATTCTGTTAAGCTTTGTGTTCATTCAGGGGCCCCTGACTGGTACAGTCAGATAAGTGTGGGATTCTTGGCTTCAGCTCAGGTCACGATCTCAGGGTCCTGAGACTGAGCCCCTCCCCACACTCCACCTCTGCTTGAGATCTGCTCTCCCTCTCCCTCTGCCCCTCCCAACAAGTGCTATCTCTTTCTCAAATAAGTCTTTAAAAAACTTGTTCATTTATAAATAATAAAAATAAATATATTAACTATGTTTTATTTTTATACCTTATAAATCAAATGAGTAATATATTTTCTGAAGATTTTTATTTATTTATCTGAAAGAGCAGCAGAGAGAAGCAGCAGCCAGAGGGAGAGGGAGAAGCAGGCTCCCTGCTGAGCCGGGAGCTCCGTGTTGGACTCGATCCCAGGACCCGGAGATCGTGACCTGAGCCAAAGGCAGACGCTTAACGGACTGAGCCACCCAGGCGCCCTGAGCAATACATTTTTAATGAGAACCCTCTTTTCTACATGCTATGTCTCTGAGCACTAATTTTTATGAAAGTGAACAATCCTTTTTAAAAACCATAAAACACGAATTTTTTCAACTTTGTAAAATATGCAATAGCGTTTCCTTCCACCAGCTCTTAAACTGGCAAGTATTTTCTTCACAGGGAAGCATATTAAATGCACTAGGAATTTTTTGACTCAATCTGTTACTCATATTAAATTTCTGGGTCCATTCCAAGTTTATTTAAGCTTTTTCTCTTTTCTTCGAAGAGTTAAGTGGCCTGAGGGATATCATAGCCATTCACATTTCAAAGTCTCTAGCGATACACTAAAACACGGATCTGCGATTAATTTCCTTTTAGTGTAAAATGTGAACCTGAGCATTCTAATAAATCCATCTGGTAACTTGTGGTTGTTCTGAGCCCAGATTTAGGCTGCAGGGTTCCGATTTCCCGTGAGCTCCCAGCACTCCTTGGCTGGACCTCCCTGATCTGAAGCAGCAGGTAAGTGTGGTGAGGCAGCGTAGACGCGGCCTCAGCTGTGTCAGCCGCCAAACATCAAAACGAATCCAGACCCTGCACTACACGTGGTGAAGTCACTGTCAAAGTCAGTGTTCTTAGAGAGACAGACCCACCGGTTACCCTCCCGTCCCAAGCCAACGTCCGACTCCCGGAGGACACCAGGCCCTCCTGGGCCGCCCCGTCTTGTCCCAGCCCAGCCAGGCTCGGGTACCCCCCACCCCTCTCTGGACAAAGATGTGTTGCTCCACGGGGAAACGGAGTCTGGTAACAGGGGATGCCACGGAGCTGCGGGAAGACCCCCAAGTCCTCAAGGAATTAGAGCTACTTCTACTTGGACACAAATGTGCCTCTTGTGACAGCCGGAAGAGGCCTGCCCCCTGTGTTCCACTTGTGCGGAATCTTCCCATCAGGGGCCCTGGGGTGTTGGGCTACCCTATTAGGAGGGCCGGGGCGGGGTTCCGAGCACTACCCAATCAGGATCCGAGGGCCGGGAGCACCGTCCAGTCAGAGCAGGGGGCGGGGGCGCTCCCAGCCTCACGGTCTAGGCCCGCAGCCCGCCCGAGGCACTGGTGTGCACCTGCCCCGTGCGGCGGCAGGTGTCTTCAGTTTGCGTCGCTCTCACCTGCGCGGGCCGGGCAGTCACACGGAGGGAGCCGGGAGAGCCAGGAGCGGGGCTGAGAGATGGTGAGTGCGTGGAGTCGGGGCCGACACCGGGAGAGGCTGTTTCGAACAGGCCGGTACCGGCTGGAGGTGGCCGGGGTTCCTCCCCCTCTCCCACCCCATCCAGGTGCTGACCCGAGTTTCCGCCCTTGGCCGCGGGGTGAGGTCCCGGCGTCCTGTGCCATGCACACATGAGTCTGGGTTCTGAGGATGCCTGGGGTGACCAGAGGAGCGCAACTGCTCCCACCCGGGCATGCGGGAGTCTCAGCCCCCGGTCGTTTCCTCCCAGAGGACAGCCGTGGGGCGCGGGCGAGGAGTCTGGGGAGACCCGCTTAGGGCCCTGGGCTCGGAGAGATCCCCTGGCAGGTCCTTGATCCCTAAGTGACCGTCCAGTTCTCATTTCCTGGAGGGACTTTAGTCGTCAGGCGCCCAGATGCGGCTACCGAGGGGTAGAGAAAGGTTTCCTGCCCTCCGGGTTCTCATGGTGAAGGAGGCAAAAGCCAAGGACAGAGAAGACCCACCCGGTCTGCCCGTGCGGCAACCTGCAAAGCAGAATGCGCTGGAGACCTGCAGTGGGGCAGGCGCCAGGGCGCTCCGGGAGGGTTGGGAGGGTGCTCCGGGAGCATCTCAGAGAACAGGTGTTGGGGGGGGGGAGGCCCACGTGGGAGGGTGGCCGCGCTTGACCCTTGAGTCATCGGTGGCTGTGTTCCCGTTTTGCACTGCCCCTCCCTGGGTTTGTCACCTTGAAAAGATTTATTAGGTTATTCAAGCCCCGGGTTTTTCAGTAAATGAGAAATACATTTTACTAACAGACTTTGAAAGATTAGATAAAATATTTGCAAAGTAACACGGGAGGGGTCAATTTCAGGGAAAAAAAATTAAAAGATCGAGTCTTAACATTGCGTTTGTCAAAAATTCTTTTTGTATCTTTTTTTTCTCTCCTGGAGCGTGTGTGGTTAAGTTTCTCACATCTGTTGTTTTCTTTCTGGTGATGACAAATGGAATTCCGGAGCTTAGCCTTGAGGATGCTACTGGGGGGAAAGAATCTAAGAGAAACAGAGAAACCCTCTCTCCCGTGATGAAAGTGTACAAACGAATGCATTTCCACACACAAAACGTTTGGCATATTAATTGGTGAATTACAAAGACTCACCAAAAACGGCAGCTATTCTTTTCAGCAGAATAGAATAATTCTATTTTGTCTGGTATTATTAGACTTCAGAGACTCTTGCTAAATCCCGATGACCCGGAGTGGGGATAGGGCCCTGCCCAGTGACTCCAAGCTAAGTAAGACCAGCCACGAGACAGCAGAAGGAGGGAATGAAATGGTTTCTTTCTGGGGAGTCTCTTCTCTGCCTGTGTCCCAGGCTGCTCACACCATCTGGAGGAGGAGTGTGTGCGCCTAGGAAAGTTGCTGGGCACTGAAAAATGTGTGTGGCTGGCGATGATGCCCTTTCTGAGGTCGTGCTTGCCCCTCCCCCTCCTGGTTCTAAATAATACATTTGGGGTGACCACATACAGAGATGGTGGCCTCAGAGCCTAGCATGTGTGCACTGAGAAGGCCTATCAAGGTCGGACTTAGGGAAATACTCTTTCGGGGTCTGTCTTCTAGAGAAAGAATTATGAATGTGGAAGTTCATTTGGGGTAGAGACGTAAACTGACTCCAGCCGAGAGTTTCCTGGCTACTGAGAATTGAAGCCTGGAGAGGGAGCATTTCCACCTGCTAGGTGGGGAGAAGAGGGCGTTCATCCCTGTGTCTGCTCAGGTCTCCCTCTCCTCCATCACGGGGCCTGGCCGGCAGAAGGCTGCTATTTCTGCAGTGAGGCTCTGGACCCCAAGCCTGTGAATGTTGTCACCTTCTGAATATGGTGGGTTTTCTTTGCGAACAGCGGATAAGTGAGTGGCTTTATCTGAGCTGATGGAAATGTTTGGTTTTCTCTCATTCTGATTCCCGTATCAAATGTTACTGCTGTATAACTCCAGTCTCCCTAAATGTTTGGCCTTTTCATGTTCCTGTTTGAGTGTGTAAGGTTTTTATTTTCTTGGGTGAGCAGAAGTGGACTGAGGGATAAAATAGAAGACAAGAGAATTCTGGAAGCATACATTTTTCTTCCTTTTTTGGTAAGATGTCCAGATAGGAGATGGCTGTATTTAAACTCAGGTTAATTTTTCACTTTTCCCATAATTTTTTATATCAGTGATTGTCTCTATAGAGTTATGACATTTAAAATGTACAATTCCTAAGACAGTCTTTATTTTAACCGATATGAGGAAAGTTAGCTTTGGATATGCAAATCCTTGAAAATCATAGTGTGTTGAATGGGTTAGGTCCAAACCCCTAACATGTGAAGTATCCTACACATTTTTGAAAATACTCCCCACTTTGAGGGGCACCTTGGGGGCACAGTCTGTTAAGTGTCTGACTCCTGGTGGCAGCTCAGGTCATAATCTCAGGGTCACGAGACTGAGTCCTGCATCCGGCTCTAAGTCAGGCTCCCAGCTCAGCATGGAGTCTGCTTGAGATTCTCTCGTCCCCCTCTGGCCCTCCCCCCCCCCACTCACTCTCTCTCTGTCTCAAATAAATAATTTTTTTTAAAAGAAAAAATACTCCCCAGTTTGAGATAGAGTTGAAACAATGATGATGTCACCTGTCATTTTAGTTGTAAAGATGTTTGAGATATTTTACTTTTCATGGTTTACACTGTCATAAACTTTAGTTTTCAGGGAGTTGTTAACCTTAAAAAGTAATGTCAGTCACTTTACCAGCAAAAGTGGGTTTATTCAGGACTAGCAGAGAATTGTAATTTGGGACATACAAGCTATAGCAACACCATAGGCATGTCCAACAAACAAAGGAGAGGAATATTATTTTTTGTAGAAGGAGGAAGTTTGGATGGCTTTCTTGGACAAAAGCCCACCGGACAAAGGGGGATGAGAATTTCTCTGAGTTCTGATGACAGTCTTTCTTGTTGAATTATAGGGGTAGTCAATTTCTTTTCTCTCTCTCTCTTTTTTTAAAGGATTCTCCATTCTGGGGTGCCTAGGTGGCTCAGTGGGTTAAATCCTCTGTCTTCAGGGGCACCTGGGTGGCTCAGTCGGTTAAGTGTCTGCCTTCGGCTGGAGTCGTGATCCCAGAGTCCTGGGATTGATCCCCACGTCGGGCTTCCTGCTCAGTGGGGAGCCTGCTTCCCCCTCTCCCACTCTCCCTGCTTGAGTACTTGGTCTTGCTGTGTCTCTCTCTGTCAAATAAATAAATAAAATCTTTTAAAAAGGGGAGCCTGGGTGTCTCAGTGGGTTAAGCCTCTTTCTTCAGCTCAGGTCATGATCTCAGGGTCCTGGGATCGAGCCCCGCTTCGGGCTCTC